TCCACAAGCTTGTAAGCAGCGTGTGCGTGCTCCCAAAACCCGATATGGTCCTCTGCTCCCGCCATATCTGCCCCTCCCACTGACCGTACCAATCACACCACCCTCTGTTAACCCCCCAGTCTCTTCCCTCACCGTTCCGCGCCCCTCAGACTGGACTGGCCTTGGCCTCAGAGAGGGCTCCCCCAAGTCCCCTCGGGCCAACCCCAAACCCCCTAAAAATTTAATAAAACATCCCTCTAAGAAGACACGTAATTTTCTTCTCCTTAGTTCCCTAGTTACTGTTGCTGTATGCCACCTCTCGGGGTTCCACACCCCTTCATCGAGGCAGGCTCTTGAGATGGTATTAGGCCATGCCTGCGCGATGGGGGAGTCGCGCAGGGCCAGCAGTTCCTTCCTGGAATACAGTCAGTCCACAACGGGAAGTCCAGCAGCAGAGTGGGGGGAAGGGAAAAATCCTCATGATAGTCAAAGTCAGGGTCGTAGATGGATGACGAGAAAGCAGCAACAGTTTATTGTTCTTGTTGTCTCCCATAAGGGGGGGGGGGAAATGGCAAAATCAAAGTCCGCCGGGCCCCACCCGCACAAACCTCCAGATCCACGCCGGGCCCACACCATCTCCACAGAGGCCGGCTGCAAGTTCTTCTGCTGGAGGGCCTCAAACCGAAACAGCCCTCCCCCGGCCCTCAGCCTCCATGAGGCATGGGCCCAGGCGTTCACGCTCGCCTGGCACTCACCGCCGAGCCCTGTTCCTCCGCGGGAGACGCCAAGCTGCGTCTCCCGCTGGGCCTCGTCCTTCAACCGGGCCGCCGTACCGCTGTACCGCCCGGGCCGCTGTGCTGCTGTGCCGCCTGTGCCGCTGTGCCGCTGTGCCGCATCCCCCTGGGCCGCTGAGTCGCTGGGCCGCTGGGCCGCTGGGCCGCTAGGCTGCTACAAGGCCGCCGCTAGGGTGCCGCTGGGGCCGCTAGGCCGCCGGGCCACCAGGCCGCATTCCCCGTTGTGCCGAGATCTCTCCAAACCGGGGTCTCCACCCACGGCTCTGCCCGCGGCTCCACCCAGCCGCGACCCGGTGGTCACGCGGCAAGCTGCTAGCCTTCTCCGCTCACCGAATTTCAGGGTCGCCGAGCACCCCCGACCCTCCGGAGGCTCCCCATCTCCGCTGAGGACTCCGCGGAGCTACGGAGCCGATCCCAGTAAGTC